GCAAGTGGGTACACTCCTCGGTGTCATGCCCGGCGCATCGATGGTAGGCACAATGCTTACTCTTATCAGGGCCGTCTCGATCGGGATGAGGGAGTTTGATGAGATTGCAGGACTGAGCGTACTGCATGGCCTCCGCCGCGGATCGGTTTAAGGCCGTAAACTCGCCAGGCCTGGTGCGGGATCGGGGATGGTCATCTCCCGACCGATGTTCTGCCCGGCCGGCCGGTTTACGGGACAAAGAGCCGACCTCCTGCAAGCGCTTGACGGCATTCGCCTCACCTGCGTTGGCGTAATCAGTGACCCTTCGGAGGGCCTCCTCATATGTGGTCGGGGGGTGGAGGATAAAATCCTGGTATAAGTATCCCGCCCGGAGGGAGATGTGAAGCATGTGAGTGGCGGTCGCATCATCCATAGGCTCGACCTCCCCGACCGCCGCCTTCCACTTGATGAGGAAGTCAGTCAAGCTTTCCCCTTCGAGCTGCTTGGCCTTTTCGAGGTACATATAGGACTTCCTCACGACTTTGGAAGTAATGAACTTCCGTACAAACTTGATCGCCAGGGTCTCAAATTTGTCGATTGACCCCGGCTGCAGGGTTCGGAACCATTCTGCCGCCCGACCGGTAAGCGTTGAGTAGAAGGCCCTGCACATCACGGCGTCTGAAACGCCTTTCAGCATCATATTGCTGAAGAAATCATTCACGTGAGCCTCCGGGTCTGTCCGACCGTCGTAACTCTTCTCTCCCGAGACTTTTAAGTCGAGCGGGTAAGGCTGAGCCATTACCGCTGCTGTAAAAGGCGTCTGGTGCAGGGTCGATCGGTCGGCCGGGGGTGCTGTGGGATACGCACTCCTGAGCTGCGCAACTTCAGCCTGGAGGTTGTAGAGCAATCCTCGGGTTTCGTTGAGCTCGGCGGCCTGAACGGCTTGGGCTGTATCCCGAGCGCGTCGTCGCCGGTGAGATCTCGACCCGCTATACCCGGATGAAGCCTCATGGCTAGCTTCCTGCATTTGTACGTCTTCTTGCCCGCGGTTCGGGTCTTGGGGTCCCAAACGCTGGCGCATCTCTGGTCGGAGACGATCGAAAGCTACCGCTCGGGCAACCTCTTCAGGGTCCTCCGCTTGAACGGCCCGGGCTGGTGCCTCCATCGCATCAGCACCCCCCGACCCCAACCGCGAATGAGCCGAGCGTCGAGCCCGGGAAGTGGACTGACACTGCGGCTCTACTTGTGCGGTCGGTTGTACTGGAGGGGCGGCGGCTGGAGCTGTATATGCAGGCGTATATGGTGGATAACCAACCGGGGAAGTGTAGCACATCGGTTGGCCTGGCCAGTACCCATACGGTGGAGGTGGGACCGGGTACGGATACTGAGCGGGATACATCATCGGCTGCTGCTGGTATGGCAGACCGGGTGGTGGGTATCCCGGCTGTATGTAATTCACCGGCTGCTGGGCGGCCGGGTACGTATTTGACGGATGCGGTGGTGAGAGGTTGAGGTTGAGGTCCATCGTCTGACCCTGCTGTTGGGTAGCGTAGTGGTCGGAGGAGCTCGCCGCGTCCGCCTGGTCGTCGGCGAAGTTGTTGTGTGCCCACGGATACATGCCGATATGGTGATCGGGTGCTCGTCAAGACGTTGGTTTCTTGGACGGTTCCCCACAGACGGCGCCAAAATGATACTGCTAATTCTACGTAAGCAATATAAAATATCACGAGACCAATTAAAGCAAGTAAAACCTTTATTGATCCCGGGAAAGGCCCTAAGTGCAATCTACTTGGTTGCTCTGAATACCGACTGACTGCGGTCGGGATTCTCTAACAACAACCTATTGATCGTCCAAAAGTCCTCTACACTGTAGCTACTGTGGGCATTTATAGCCGCTATGCCGGGGACAAGATTCCTGCCGCTCGGCATGTCTTCCACGTAGCCACCACGTGTCATCTTCCCGGGTGCCCTGTCTGTCGCCATGAAGAGCCACCACGCGTCCTCTCGCGTCCTTGTATCAGCTCTTTCGTCGAAGGGCTACCGCTCGGTGGTTGACATCAGCGCTCGGGCAACTCCCGGCCATTCCCGACCGGGGTCTTCATGGAAAAAGCCCGACCTGCCGCCTGAAAAGATCATAAGAGAAAGACAAAGGCAAGTCGGTCGTGGTGGAGCTTGTGTCGGTCGGGATATTCCCTACCAAATCTGAATTTAAAATGACCACGAGACGTTCTAAAAGGACCATGAGTGGTTATTTTTTAAAACATGGAGGACTATTGGAGGTCATTTAAAACTCGGAGTACCACAGCTGGTAAACTCTTAATACTCGGAGGACCATTGGAGGTATTAACTCTAATTGTATAGTAGAATACATATAAACTCCTAACATAATACACATAATCTAACATAGTACATAATACATACAAACTCTTAACATAATACACATAAACTTTTAACATAATACACATAAAATTTTAGGGCGCACAATGCAATGTGCACCCTGATGCACGGTATAATTTGCCGAGTTACCTCAAGTCTATAAAAATATCTATGTTCGTCTTTAAATTTTCTTTTATTCACACTCTTGATCCACCCTCTTCTTGAAGAAAACAAATAAACTAGCCCATTAGGGCAAATAATTATGGAAAATCTTCAAGCTCGAATCACTCTTTTTTTTTTTTTTTGCCAAGTAGGGCAAATTATGGAAAATCTTATGGTAGGCAATGATCCACATTGAAGGGTGGACCAGGAAGCAATACAACATAGTTAAATAATTTTAGGATTTTTTTTTTACCGTTAATCATGATAGACAGCAAATTTCCATAAGGTCTATGCAGTAACCTTTCTCAATTTCGTTGTGATATTTTCATCATCTTATCACATATTTGTATTTTCATCTGTCTCTCCTATATTTGTTTCATTGAGTGTATTCTCAGAGTTGTATTGACCATGAATCAATCGATAGATAGATGCAATAAGAGTACAGTGCAATATATGTCTGGATGATTCTGTTTCATTTAATATATATATATATATATATATATATATATATATATATATATATATATATATAGTAGGTTTTGTTATATTACTACTAAAATATCACTCTAATTTAACTACAGTTTCATTTGACAATATATACACTCAATGGGTACGTGCGTTTAGTTCAAACATAGGAATGGGAATCAAATACTCCGTACTTGGTAATTGGAATGAATTATTTGTGAAAATATTTTGCCTGTTTGGTAGTAGGGTCAAATTGAAATGGTTACCAGTATTGATGATTGGTTATATATGACTTTATAATCAGAACAAAGATTAAAAAAAAAAAAACAAAAACAAAAACAAAAACAAAAACAAAAATCAGGGCAATTGATGTTATGAGTGGCGATGAGGTGAGTATGTAGTGCAGTGGGCAAGTTGATGAAGTAAGGATGCAATGAGGAAGCGATGAAATGAGGAGTGATAAGACTGAATTAATGGAATGATACCTAATTTCAATTAGGTAATGGTTTTGTAAGTATACGTGTAATCAAATCATATACCTTTGTTTTTAAAAATTGTCAACCAAACAATGTGTATGACTTTGTGTATTGACTCTTTCGACTACAACAGATAGAGAAAGTATATTAAACAGATGCTACATTGTACGTAATAGAGTCGATAGTACTAAAAAAAACAATGTGTATGACTTTCATTCCCATTTCTTTTGTTTAACCCCATGAACCAAACACACTCAATATGTGAGACCTACTATTCAGTTTCATTTTATACACACTGTAGTTTCATTATGACACCACTAAAGTATCATTCAAATTCAACTACAATTTAATTTGACAATATGCACTCAATATGTGAGACCTGCTATTTCGTTTCATTTTATACGAACTATAGTTTTATTACATCAACATTAAAGTATCATTCTAATTCAACTACAGTTTCATTTGACAATATAATATACACTCAATATGTGAGACCTGTTTTTACATCCTCCCAAATGCTCTGTCGGGTCGGGGTGTGGGGGGCCCTTAGGGTTGGGGTTCAGCCTTTTGGAAGAATATGTGAGACCTGCTATTTAGTTTCATTTTATACACGTTATAGTTTCATTGCATCAACATTAAAATATCATTCTAATTCAACTATAGTTTCATTTGACAATATACACTAAATATGTGAGACATGTTATTCAGTTTCGTTTTATACACATTTTAGTTTCATTACAACACAACTAAAATATTATTCTAATTCAACTACAGTTTCATTTGATAATATGCACTTAATATGTGAGACCTGCTATTCAGTTTTATTTTATACACATGGTAGTTTCATTATAGCATTACTGAAATATCATTTTAATTCAACTACATATATTCATTCGACAATATACACTTAATATGTGAAACATGTCTTTTCAATTTTATTTTATACACACTGTAGTTTCATAAAAAAAAATAGTTGAGCACACCGCAGAGACATGATTTGTTGAACGCAACGGCTACCGTTGTTTTGGACCATGGTCTAGTGTATAATGGGTTAGGCAAATTAATTATAATGTGGACTATGGTTTACATTGCAACATTAACTATGAATATAATAAATGTTCATTTTTATTGTGTTGAAAATTCATTATTTGTTTACTGAAACTTCATTATTTGGTAACCTTCAATACACAAAAAAGTATATCTTAAATGAACATTCAATATATTAAAAATGAACCTTTAATATATTGAAAAAATACTTTATGTTAGTGGTCCAACTTAATTTAACGAAGTTTAATAACTTTGTTCCTTTAAATGTTAAAACTACAATTTTTTTTTAAGAGTTAGAAAATAGAAATATATTCCAATAGTAAAAAGTTAAAAACTAAAACAAAATACGTTTAAAAGAAGTAAGATAACAAATATAAATTGTTAATAATAATTTTATTTTAGTGGAGGTAAAACATAAATTTAAATACAATGATAGTTGTTTTGGCACACTATAGCATCGTTTAATAATTTTTTTCGCCTTTTATTAATTTACAGGCAAAAGTGGTAAAGTGGGAATGAAGATTGGCATTGGTAATTAAACAAATATACTCATTATTTTGAAGTGGAAGAATTCGATTCTGTTCATTCCAATTCTGAGTTTTTTTTTTTTTTTTTTTTTTGAAAACCAATTCTGAGTTAAGCATTTTTGCAGCCATAGGTGGAGCTGCGTTATGCTTTGTTGCATTTTGCATAATTAAGTTATTTCGGTATGCATATCGTCGACGACAGAAACGCTATTCTTCTGGGAACGAACTTGACTTGCAAGGCTCATTCAACCACAGGGGCTGTATTGGAGGTATCTTAATTTCCCCTTCAAACATTTATATTTTATATTATTATTATTGAAACACAATCTTGTGACACTTTCTGATAAATATATAATAGAGCAGTCGACAAATGAAAAAGATGCCAGCAGTAGACTTTTAATTTGTTAATACATTTATTTGAATTGAATCGTGAAATTTTTAATTTATTATTTCCTCTGTTTTCTTTGTTAGGAATATTTAAACAAGCATTGCAGGAAAGAAAAGAATATGGGAATCTTGAGGTGTTTATGGAGCAATATGGATCATTAGCCCCTGTGGTTTATAGTTATTCAGATATCAAGAAAATGACTAATTCATTCAAACACAAACTTGGCCAAGGAGGCTATGGAGAAGTGTATAAAGGTAATCTTCATAACGGTCTTCATGTTGCAGTTAAGGTCTTAAACTCAACCAAAGGGAATGGGGAAGAATTCATCAATGAAGTGGTCAGCATTTGTCGCACCTCCCATGTTAATGTTGTCAATCTTCTAGGATTTTGTTCCCATGGTACTAAAAGAGCTCTGGTTTATGAATTTATGGCTAATGGATCCCTCGAAAAATATATTCATGAAAATAGCACTCATTTGGGATGGGACAAGTTGTATGAAATTGCTCTTGGCATAGCTAAAGGGCTTGAATACTTGCACAAAGGTTGCAATACTAGGATTGTGCATTTTGACATAAAACCACACAACATTCTTCTTGATCAAGACTTTTGTCCCAAGATATCTGATTTTGGATTGGCAAAACTCTGTGCTAATAATAAGGAGAGCATAATATCTATGTGTGGAGCTAGAGGAACTATTGGCTATATTGCTCCAGAAGTGGTTAGCCGGAATTTCGGATCTGTTTCACACAAGTCGGATGTGTATAGCTACGGAATGATGGTCTTAGAAATGGTTGGAGGAAGAAAGAATGTAAATGATAAGGTGAGTCATAGTTCTGAGATATACTTTCCTCATTGGGCATATCAAAGGCTTTTGCTAAACGAGAATTTAAAGCTTCAAGGGTTTAGAGCCGATGAGGAGGAAGAAATTGCAAAGAAGATGATACTGATAGGATTTTGGTGCATTCAAACAGATCCCTCAGACAGACCATCAATGAACAAAGTTATTGAGATGTTAGTGGGTAGCTTGGAGAAGTTGGAAATGCCGCCAAAACCTTTCTTGTATTCTCACTCGGAGGATATTTCTCAAGCAATATCACCTATAGTGCCATCACCTTCTTTTTTAAGTTCGTCATGCACCATTAGCATGAACATTGATTGATAAAATTAAGCACAATATATATACCATAGTTGATTTGAGTTTCCATAACATTTTACAGACCTATATTGGCTATATATAATGATCAATTTGAATTTGTGTACATTTAATATAATACATGATTTTAATTTTCGCCTAATATCATTATTGTTGAAGAATGGCTAAAAAATAATTTTGTTCGTTTATGTAGTAGGTGTGGACAAGGGGTGGTGTGGTGAACGTTGATTTGATTTTGAGTTATATTTACTTTAAATATTAAAACAATTTGTGTGATATTTTTGATACTTGATATCCAAATTGAATAAAAAATTGAGGTTAAAATTTATGCAAAACTCACAATAAAAGTATCATAATGTTGTGAAATACGGTGTAGCCTCGTATGAATCTTATGTAATTATTGGACGCTATAACCACACAGTGAGAAAGAGGAAGAAGAAGAAGATCAAGTTGAACTCAAGAATTAAGAATCAAATTCTCATTAGATATAGCTAGATAACCGTCAATATACATATACAACATGGTAAACTGAATAAGATTTGTAAGTGTAAAATAATTTACACATTAAGTTATTGGCTATTTTATTTAGTAAATAGTTTTATTGTTTTTAGTTAATTAGAGTTGTTAAAGTTAATTATATTTTTGGACCATGTGATATAAATATGTGGATGTTGTGCCTTGGAGTATGAAGTCAGCGTATGAAGATGTCAAAGAAATAAAAAGTGTGGCAGTGGTTTATTCTAACAAGGAAAGGCAGTGGTTTATTCTAACAAGAATAAGTGGTGGTGATTCATTCGAACAAGTGGTGGCTAAAGAAAAAGCTATTGCTAAGGATCCTAACTAATGGTTCAAGAAGTGCTATAAATTAACACGGTTCGAAGGAAGCATTTGCCAATTTGAGAATTATACATTGCGAGAGCTCTCCTGATTTTACAAAGCAATTTCTATTTTAATTGTAATTTCTGATTTAATTCGTAAGAATATTTATATTGTACTGCATGATCAGTACGTGGTACTGCTGAAGCAACTTGTGAAGATTGTTCGGGTATTCGTGTGTCAGTCCTGGATAGGTGTTAGAAAGAGTGGTAGTGGTAAAGGTTGGAGGCCATCTTCATTTACCTCTTGTAATACTCCTTTTGGTGAACATCTATAGTGGATTGGGCAGACGTGGGTTGCCCCGCAGACGTAGGAGAAGGAGCTCCGAACTGCGTAACAATTTCCTTGTGTTTTTAATTTACTTTATGTTTTCTGCAGTTATTATTTATTCTTGCATAAACGAGTTTAATTAATTAACTAAATTGGTGCATAACTTAATTAACATATAAAAACACATAGCGTTTATATTTCAAGTGTCACGGTACAATTTTAATTGGTATCAGAGCCTGTAGACTTAATTTATTAGTCTATCGATCTGGCGATTCCGTGCCTCTTGAATTCATATCTTCAGCGGCTTTTGTTATTTATCTGTTTATTACTTATTTGTTTGATCTCACGGGGTGTTAAGTGTTACAGAATGGAGCGAACAAAAGTCCTTCCCCAGTTGACCGGTGACAACTACGCATATTGGAAGGCTCGCACCCGTACGCATCTAAAAGCTAAAGGTGAAGCCGTATGGCGGTCTGTGGTGTCAGGTTGGACACATCCCACTAAACCCAGTTCCAGCACTGATGGAACAGAAGTCACTAAGCCAGAGACTGAGTGGACTCAAACAGAGATAACCAATGCAGGAAACAATGATAAGGCTTTAGACACAATTTATTCTCTTATGCATGAAAGCCAATTTTCAATTGTTGCAGGTATTCCTTCAGCTAAAGGTGCTTGGGAGGCTCTTGAGTCAACATACGAAGGAACTACCTCTGTAAAACAGTCGAAGCTGCAACTGGTTCAGTCAGAATTCGAAGAACTGCGCATGAACGAGGATGAAACAGTCATCGACTTTCATACTCGCATACAAGAACTGGCAAATCGCGCAATGGTCCTTGGTGAACCATTCTCGCAAGAAAAACTCGTCAAAAAGATACTGAGATCTTTACCGCCCAGGTTCCGAATGAAAGTCACAGCCATCCAAGAGCATGATGGCTGGGAGAAAAAATCTGTTACTCAGCTAATGGGAAATCTTAAAACATATGAAATGGAGATTTTAACTGATCATACGAAAAAACAAAAAAATATTGCTTTTACCGCTGAAGAAAATAATGTAGTATCCGATACAGATGAAACTAGTGATGATACAGTTGCGTTCTTAACTAAACAGTTTTCCAAAATTTTGAAAAAGGTATCCAAAAACACACACAACAGAAATTCACAAAATGGAGCAACGTCATTCAAGACTGCACCTAGGACAGGGACGCCAAACGCCAAACAGTCTGTCTCACGTCCAGGACAGTCCAAAGAAAGGTCCAACAACAAAGGCATCAAGTGTTATGAATGCGAGGGATTTGGACATGTACAAGCTGAGTGCGCCACCTATCTTCGACGTAAAAAGTCTATGTCAGCCATTACCTGGAGCGATGACGAACCCGACGTTGAACCAACTGGGTCAGATGTCGAGGAAATTTCGGGTAATTTTGTTGCATTTACGGCACGATTTACTGACAGTTCAGAACCTGTTGAAGACTCAGAAGGTGGTGACTATGTCTCTGCAGAAGATGTGGAACAAAATGCTTTATCTTTTGAAGCTGAATTTAATAAGTTGTATCCCAAATGGGAAGCTTTAAGGAAAATGAACTGCAAGCTAGCTAGTGAAATAGAGATTGTAACAAATGCAAATAAAGTATATCAAAATCAAGTAGCTGATAGGAATGTTTTGCTTAAAGAAGCAGCAGATCGAGAGGAAAGACTTCAAAACGAAGTACAAACCAGAAATGTACTTCTTAAGGAAGCAGCTGACCGAGAAGTAAAACTCCAACAAGAAGTTCAGAATTTGAAACAGGAGCTCAGCACCTACAAACGACAAATCCAAATGATGGATACCACTTCAACACTCGATAAGATTCTTGATTCCGGCAGGAAAACTTCTGCAAAATTTGGTTTGGGCTTCACTGGAATTAACTCGAAAGATAAGACTGTATTTGTCAAAGCATCCGGACCTGATCCAGACGACATCCCTGAATCCAGCACTATGAAACGCCCCTATGGTAAAGTAAGCGCAAATAAGATGCATTATAAACTATATAATCCTGTTTGTCACTATTGCAGGTTACGCGGTCATACCAGACCCGAATGCTACTACTTCTACAAGGATCAAAGAACTGAGAAGTTCAGGCAAAAGAACATCCGGCCTTTTACAAAACAAATTTGGGTTAGGAAAATTGACATCGTATCTCAATCAATTCCAATAACATCTCAAGGATGACAAAATACAAAATAATTGGCAAACATGCTGATTAAGGATTCCAAATAAGAGTAACAGGTAAGTCAATTTACCTTTTATTTTATCTTATAACATTTGCTAATGTTTCAGGAACAGGTTTATTATATCTTAATTTATACAAAGGCTTTTTTTTTTTTTTTTTTTTTTTTTTGAATGCTACTAGCTCTATTACATTGTAGTACCTGTTCATATACTCTCTCAACCTATTGAAACATAAAGAACTAATAACACCTCCACTGAGGCTCGAACTCACAACCTTTCAAGTGGAAGTCCAACCCAGATACCATTGGACCACATAGTCCTGGTATACAAAGTCTTTTTTAATCCTTCAAGAATTCAATTTCTAATCTTTTAAAATATTTCTTTACCTACCAAAATTCTTGTTCCAATCTTTTTTTTACATATTTCCCTATGATAAAAAAAAAAAAAAAGGGAATTTTTTTCCCCAAAAATGCATCGCGACCCAGCCATGCCTCATCGCCTGAAGTTGCAATCAACGTGTCCAGCCGGTCATCAACGCCAATGCCTGTAGTCACCATCTGTCACCACCATCACCGGAGATGCCGCAGACTATGAAGCCACCGACTATTATTGTTGCACCGCCGCTCCTGCCCGACACTGCCCAGGTCACTCTCTTAATTTTATTAAAATTATAAAATAAAATAAAATAAAAATCTAGGGGTTCTCTGCCTATTTTTTAATCTTTAATACTGCATTTGTTTTCCTTCATCTATATCCAAATTTTTTAAGTGTTTTCTTCTCTAATCCGTCGTTATTTTGGATACCTCACACAATGTCCTTATTTCAAATTTGTCTGGCTCAGTACCTCCTGCACTTTATTTGAACATATGTGTACTGCTTTTTCCATGAGGAATGTGTCACTATATGTATACATACCTCTTTTTCCAGATCCACACACATCCCAAATTGTGTCAATACCTAAATATGTTCCCACTTCTGTATTTGTGTCTGCGTTCTTTGTGTCTATTTCATCTGTTCAGGTACCGATTGCCTCCTGCATGTTATTAAGAGTATCATTGACAAGTCGTCCGAGATAGCTGATACAAAACACGATGGGAAAATTGATATGGAGGATGAAGATTAACGAAAAAAAAAAAAAAGAAGAAGAAGAAAATTCTCGCTTCTTTAAATGCTTCAAAACACTCAGGATATTGGTACCTCTATCTCTTCTCTTTTAGTTGGTATTACTTCAATACCTAGTCTATGAATCTTATTTTTTTCTTATATTTTTACCTGATTTTTTTTTGCTACTCCTATATGTCATTTATGTTTTAAGTATCTGCTCCTTAAAATGTGCCTAAGATGACCTTTTCTTGATATTATTGTGTGAATGAGTTATCCTTTTCTGTGTGTTCACTAAATGTCCTATCTACGTTGTTTTGGCTGCCTTTGATCCTTTGATTATGCCTTTTTGTTGGTGTTTCTTGTGCTAAAAATTGGATATCTATAAGGTTGCTTGAATGGTAAATTTGCTGCAAGTAGATATTCGTAGCTATGTGTTTACGTGAATGTACCTATTGATTTACCTGCTTCTCCATAAAAGTGTTATCTGTAATCTTGCTCTGTGTTATGTGTTATGTGTTTAGTCCGGTCATGACCGTATTTGTGTTTATTTACGTGTTTCCTGCGCTATCTGTGCTTCAATTGTTTATTTGTGTGTTTTTCGTGATATCTGGTCTGAATCTGTGCCTAAATTTGGTTCATATGTCTGTGTGTCTGAATTTGATTTATTTTGAATCTTTGGCTTG